TATATATGTTAATGCTGCTAAACTGAATGAAAGAATGTGTTCCATATTAACCTGCCCAAAGTGCGTTTGTTACTATAGCAACAGTAGGCGACTGAAGTCCCCTTACATTGAAATAGCCTTTTTGCACCACGTTTCTACAGTGGCCCTAAACGGACAAACTCATTTCGTCACTATGTTGTTCTTCATGCAAAGAAGCTAGTCAGCGAATAAAACACTGACACAATGATGACCAAGTAACAATAATATTCGTAATAACATTGTTTTAGTGAATAATTAGGTAGGCTATAATTTCTTAATTTTATCTTTGTAAAGAAACCCTTAACTGGCTACTCTCTGCTTTCTCAGATGATCACATCTTCTCCTGTCAGCCACCGTAACTTTTGTTGGCTCAATTTGCTGCACTAATATCACAAACTTTTACAATGGATTGTTCTCGAAACAGACACCCAAATCAGAACAGACAGGAGAGCATACTGACTTCACAGCACTGACAAACCATCAGTCGGTCACTTAAGTTATTTTACATGTGGACAAAAAGGACATTTGGAAAGAACATCAGAGAATTTGAGGACATTTTCAAAATAAAGCCTCAGTGTTTTTTTTAGTGGATCACTCCCAGCCCATGGGACAAACAGGTTTTCTCAGCTGACAAGTCTAAATACATGTCTCAACAACACTTGCAAACAGAGAGGGCCACACCTTCAATCTCTTCTGGAGTGACAGAAATCTACTAATATGATGCCCTCCATCTTAAAGGGGTCATAATGCCATTTCAAAGTTTATCATTGTGTTTAATGATTGTAATGTAATATAATATTTTGCTTATTTTTATTGTATTTAACATTTTTTGTTTTAATTACTATTTTTAAATCAGTTTTATTTAAAGCACTTTGAATCACCTGTGTATGAAATATGCTATATAAATAAATTTGCCTTGCCTAATGCTTTCAGTAAAACTCAATATCACCAATGTGGTTAAATGTGCAAAACTCTCTGCAAGGTATCAAATGTCAAGTCATTAAAAAAAGGCTATTCAGGTTAGATACAAACACCAAGTGACCTGATCTGTTCAACAAACACATTCCTTTGTTATTTTGTGATTTGCGCGCTCGAAATGAATACAATAATTCAAATTAAATGAACAATTATGATAACTTGACAAACTTAGCAAAGCAATCTATGTCTACATCTAGCAATGGCCTGGCAACCACCCAGAACAACTGTCTAGCAAATACGTAGAATGCTTAGAAGTCCAGCAACTATCCAGAATTCCCTTTCGTGTTAAGTTTGCTTGCACTAACAATCACAAATTTAGCAACTGTGTCAATCATAGTAGTGATTGGGACCAAGCAGGCAGCAGACAGTCTCAAAGAGAGAAGTACAGAATATAAAGACAGAATTTGACAAACCACTATATGCTAGAATTTGCAAACATAGGCCTACATCTCCAAGATGCCTATTAACAGGCATCACATTCCAACTATTGCGATACTTGAGTATCTTTCAAAAAGCAGAAGATCTAAATCTGCAACATAAGTGCATACATTAATATCTAGCCACTTTTCTGCATCTGTATACTTTACACATAACACAAACCAAATTGATATGAAATAGCCTAAGGACATTTCATTCTACCAAACTACACGCAATTGCTGAATTACAATTCACACAGGTCAGTTTATTTGACGAATTAAACTTGTGAGGTAATGCAGCGCTGTTTCACTTCGCTGTCTACCGTTACACTATCATACTAAACTGCATTTGAGTGTGTTGAAAGTTGTGTTATTCTATGTGTTAGTTTGTTTTCTGTATGAGACTAGCAGTAAGCTAGATCAACATTATAATAACATTTCATCATGTTGAGCTATGTAACATTGTTTTATGTACATTTGCTCACCTATCTAATAAAGTAGCCTATGTAAGAGTGGCGTCTCTGTCAAGTCGAATTTAGTCGTGGACGTGGAGCTCTCGTATCTCGAAAACGCAATGCTGATATTGATCCTCGTTTTAGTTCTCCTTTTGTCCCAAAGTCTGCTTGCCATGGTCCATAATGTTTGAACGAGTCCACGTCTGTCGCCATGGTCATGGCAGTACAAGCGGAAACCAGGGATAACGCGGATATTACGTCATTGACAGACGACAAGTGAACAGGAACAGGCACTTTTTTTAAATTGTGAATTTCTCTGAATTAAAAAATTGTTGGAAACATTTTGGATAATGGAAGTACACAATTGAAAGAAATATATAACACTGTGCAAGTGATTTTTGGATATTTTGATACAAAATTCGTATATTGTACTTTTAACAACACGCTAAAAGTGCAGTTTACCTGTTTTGAGCGATAGGCAGAGGCAAAGGGAAACAGCTTTGAGCATCATCCTTATTAACACGAAGAACCTGCACATTCAGTAGAAACAGCTCACTCGGTCTATACTAACGTTTACTTTTAACACAATGGCAAGTTGCCTTTCACCAATAGCTAGGTCAAGAGGGCACTGTTTGCTCTGCCCAACAGAATGAAAAAAGAAGATGCGGACTCAAGAGTATCTCTCTTGTCCCTCCTTCAAAATTCCTTATAGGCAGCCAGTTTCCCAATTCCCAAACCTATTATTGTAGGCACACTACATCTAGCTCCTAATCAAACACACCTGAATCATCAGCTTGATATATTACAGACTCCAAGACCAGGAATGCATGGGTCAGGTTAGAGAAAATGTGCACTATTGGTGTACCATTAGGAACATGTTTGGAAAATGTAGCTGTATGTGAATGTAAACAGTCTGCTTGTTTGTCTACTAAGTTGTAAAGCTGAAAGTGCATCATATAAATAAAGTTATTTTATCTCAAAAGAAAAAGTCGACTCTGAACCGCTACACATGCCTTCTCACTAGAAAATGTTTTAAAAAGTGGGGAAAAAAACCCTGAACAAATGTATTTTCTTCACTAAAATGTTACATTTGTTTCATGTTCTTAGTAGTGTCATTTTTTTTAAACGTTTAATGTGTTTGGTCTCAGGTTGTCATGTTTGTAGAGGGGTATACTTTGTTATACATATAATTTTTTATTGCCATTGTTTTTATTTGTTAGCCAAAATCTGCCTTTCTCTGTTTAAATTCACTCTTTTAGTACAAAGGTATAAAATAATGGATTGAGATAATTAGATTGAAGATTCATTATTTAATTTATTTTAAATCTCTTTTTAGATTTATTACATTTAAAATAAATCGTAAAAAATATCAATTAAATACGTTTTTTTTAACAAATGTAATTTTAATCTGTTTATTAATGTTTTTACTCAACATTTCTGCAGTTTTTGAAGGATTTATGATATCTTTTAAATTTCTATAAATAAATATTTCTTTAAATAGGCTTTTTACAAAAAACTGCTTTTTATGTAAAATTCACTTTATAAAAGACCCAGATTTCTAACTTTCATTCATGGGGATAACATGGATAATTTGACCTGGTTTAATGTAAGATTTTTGGAAAATGCAGTTTTAAAATAAAACAAATCACTTTAACAACTAGATGGCTAATAGAGCTCCACTATATGCTATTTGCTATTTGACTAACCGAAATATATCTTTTCACAAGTTGGATTCATATCTAAATATTTTTAAAAAAATCACAATTATAACAAAGTAAAGACCAAACATTCGCTACCGTCATGCTCATTTTGCGATCTTTAGAGGAGCAGCTTAGATTGTATTTACCACAAAAAGCATAATGGCTCAGTATATTCCCAAAATTAACATGAGTTAGTGAATATATGCCTTTCTGCCACCACTCATCAATAAACAAAGATGGCTTGGTGCCAATCAAATGTTACATGTGAATCCTTCAGCACGTTTGAGAGTAAAGCTTCAAGTTTTGTTTGTTACTCACTCTAGGCTACGTCTCCTTATTTAAGAGTGCACGCCCTGTGCAACAAACCAAGAACAAGGCAGAAAGTGAAAAAGGGACATGTAGCCAAGTTTGGAACTTGGAATTTGTGCTCTGCATTTCACAATTCAAGTTCACACAGCAGTGAGTATTGAAGTCACACCCGGAAGCCACTTTTTTTGCTGCTGCTCCCTGGGAGCGATTGGGGGTTTGGTGCCTCAAGATAATAAGAGTGGAAGAGAGCGCTGTTCATTCACTCCCCCCCCACCTACATTTGCCGGTACAGAGACTCGAACCTGCGACCTTCGAGTTACAAGTCTGACTCTTAAGTGGGGGATATATCATAATAACATAATCAGTACAGAAAGAATGTTTCAGAATAAGAGTTTATTTCCTGTCAAATAAACAAACCATAACATCCTTCTTTCGGAATAATAATAACTTAATCTCAATAAAAGTGTCATATTCACATATCAATGAAACAACAAGTTTTATCATAACAAGTTGTGATCATAGTGTTTGCAGGGTCCGCTTCACACACACACATTTGATTTGGCACAGGTTTTATGCAAGATGATGCCCTTACTGACACAACCCAGCATTGAGAGTCCTGGGACACATTCACACTTTTTGATCATTTTGAGCTTTGTTACATAAACCTCAACATGATGTGCTGTAATAAACTGATCTGTATGATAATAGTCTGAATGATGATCATCTTCTTAAAGCGACTTCTGAATACACCGTCTGATCCCATCCATCAGCCTCCTGTAATGAAATGCACTTTATAGGGATGATTTCATTACTCAATTCACAAAAGAAAAGCAAGCTCATTATGAACAATTACACAGATTTTTTTTTAAAATTGTGTATGATGTGTGTGTGTTTCATTATACAACCTAATTTATATATTTTATAAGTAGACAAACAAATAAACTGTTCTAGCTACGCAAGCTTTCATAAAAGAGAGTTAGTGCAGAGAATAACAATTCGTTAAGCGGTGTGTTTAACGAATGTCACATCAGTATAATCAACTTCTTCATTAGTATGAGCTGTTAATGACAATATATATATATATAAAATAAAATAAACATTTATAATACTGAAATGGTGGTTACAGGATTTGTTGGCATTTCTGAGAACTACTTTTGCAATAAAATATACATTTTCCTGTTGTGTGTAATACTTGCCGTCTTGTTTCGCTTGTGTGTATTTCCTGCGGCGACAGAAGAACAACACGACTAAAACTGCGACGACCAGCAGCAACAACAACAACAACAGCGATACAAGGAGGAATGGAGTTTGGCTGGATTCTACAATGATAAAACACAGTCATTAATCTACTGTTAGTCTCAACAAAGATGAAAACAGCAGATCTGATAGGAAATATTATCTTAACAAATGCAACTAAAAATTTTGATAATCAATTCATCTGTACATTATTTCTATGATTAATATCTAGATAAAAATATTTTCTGTATTGAAAAAACATATTCCAAATCTTGCTCATTGTTGTCCTCCAAATTTAAGATATTTACCAGCTAATAAATTTATGTTTTAAAAACATTGTGGAAACAGTGATTTATAATGTTTCTGAAACGTGATTAGAATGTTATTTAAAACGTTATGTAATGTTAGTACAACAACATTCTCCTAACTTATTTTTACTCACAATATAACAATCTTTGAATGTTTATTCCAAGAACATTAACATTTATCAAGTACAAAATGGGTGTTCCGAAAATGTTGTCCTAAGAATGTTCCCCTCGACATCATTAGAACACATATCAAACATTAATAATGTTATAATAATTTTCTAAAAATGTTATTTAAAAAATGTTTTATCTTAACATCTGTAAAACATTAGGGATGCTATACAGTATGTGCTTTAAAAATGTTTAAAGTTACTTTATAAAACAAAACAGCAACTTTGCGTCTGTCTGATGCGCATATACACGAGCATCTGTGAAGTTTATTAAAGACTCTCTTGCTGTCAGTATATGAGCCTTTGTACAAAATGAAAATGGTACTCAAATGAATTTTTATCATTTATAGGTAATATAGCCTTAAAAAAATTATGTTCTGGGAAACCCTCTCAAATGTGTGTGAGACAATGCGAGTTCAATTACTTCAAACCAGCAGGACATTATTAATAGGATTAATTATGGACTCTCACACTGCCAGTTTAGTTCAAAACAGCATGAAAAAAGTGCACTACGATACCAAACATGTGTGAAATCCCCTAATACTGAAGTACCTTCACATGTGTGACAGAGTTGTGTGATGTCCAGATGTGTGGTCTGGTTTCTGACAGGATTGTTGATCACACAGCTGTATGTGTTGTTATCCTGATATTCCACATCCAGAGGTAGAGAGAGACTGATGCTGAGATCACACACACTGATGCTGGACAATACACTGATTCCTGCGTACCAGGAGAGAGTCACATCACTCACATTCAACACTGAACACACCAATGAACATCTGGACTTTGATGATGATGATGATGAAGAACAGTTGCTGGTGATGACAGGAAAAGGAAGACGATCTGGAAAGAAGTACAAACAATAAAAGATGCTGTTTTTTTATTTAAAAGCAGTGTTGGCTATTGCAAACTTCAAGTCAAGTCAAGTTTGTTTATTCGTCATACAAATGTCAAAGACAATTTGTACATTGAAATGCATTTGGTTGAGGCTCAGGCATTCAACAGTAGTGCAATATATAATTATAATTCAATACAATTTAGAAAGGGGGAAAAGTAGATATTACAGTAAAGTATATAAATATGCAAAACAAACATGTTTGTATGATTGTTTTGTATATTAAATAATAAAATGTACAGTATGTGCAGTGTTTTAAGACACTGATTATAAGAGTGTCTTATATTATTCACCCAGATTATAGCCATAAAAAAATTAGCGTATTATTTTTATTTACATTTTGTGTAAGAAGCATCAACTGTATCGCTATTTACACTAAATGTAATCAAGGTGCTAATTGTTTCTATGTATACAAAAAGTATCTACAACAAAAAGCATCTAAACAGCGTAACTGTGCGTCTTCCTTCATTTGCACTTATAGCGACTCCCATTCATAAAGTGAACAGTAATAAAGACAGGCAGGTAAAATTTGAAATATACTTTTTCTCTATTAACTGAAATTATACAGTCAATAATTGAATAACAATGCTGATCAAAATAAACTAAAAGTCATTATGAATAATCAGAACAAGATGCCATGACATGAATATGATGTGGGTGTGCATAATGTATTAAAATCGTCATCTCACCATAAATAGAAATATTGAAATGCTTCATATTTGACCCTGAGCTCCCGATGATCTCTAGTTTATAAAGTCCAGCATGTGCCTTTGAGATGTTTCTGATGGTCAGAGATCCAGTTTCATTGTCCATCTGAAGCCGGTGTTTGAACTTCTCAATTTGATCATAATAAGAGATGTTCTGTCTGTGGATTTCAGCAATACGAGTGTCATTACGCCCAAACATCCACAGTATCTGATCATCTCTCTGTACTTGAACATCAGTGTTTAGAGAGACAGAATCTCCCTCAGTCACTGACACTGACTTCACTTCAGCTGGATCACCAAACACACCTGAAACTGATTTAGAAAATATTTGTAAGTCTTATGTTTAGGAAAAATATATATATTTGCAAGATATTCATTATACATTTGCTCATCAATTATTGGCTGAAGTTAGTAATTTTACATGAATCAAGATTTAATGTATGAGATAAACAGGAGTAGTCAAGATGAAAAAATAAGCTAATGTAAGAGAAAACATTTCCCTTGACATCTAGGCTACTCTTTCAAGAACAGCCTCTTGCATTACAAATGTACACCCAATCTACTGTATACTATGACAATGTTAACTCTGACACAACATCACTTTCTTCAGTGCAGTTTGTTTATTTTATTCTGTGATGCATTTAGTAAAACTCAATAATCACTCAGTCTCCATTATGGTAAAACAGAAAGTACAAAACTATCTGCAAGGTATCTGATGTCTCGCCATGAAGAAAAAAAACTAACCAGTGAGATACAAACACCAAGTTACCTAAAATGTCAAACAAACAAATTCCTTTATCATTCTGTGATATGAGAGATCAACAGTGGATAAATATTAAATGATGATTCAAATCATATTAATGTGGAGGGGGATTCAAAATAGACAAAGCAATATCTCTCTTTAAAATGCCCTTGCAACTACCCAGAGAGCTATGGATTCGTTTGTGTAGGATTGAAAATAATCCAAGACATTTGAAATGAACAAAGACATATGCTTTACTGTGTTCCACCCCTTCTTTCAACCACAAGGACCATTTGGAGTTTCCAAAGACACAGAGTGTAGTGATCAAGGCCTGTAGGCCAAAATGTTTGTACTTTGGGGGTCAATGAATTGTCACACCTTTAAAACAATGGGGGAAGTTGTAAGTATCTGATTGGTCAGTTTGAATGTCTCACATTTGGGTTTTAGTCACATGGTCACGGAAGGGATAAAGGAAGGTTAAAACTGTTGCTCTGTCTGTTTGTATGCTCTGCTCTTTGGATGCTCCAGCTCTCTTCTTCTCTGGGTAATTGGGGCTCTCTCTCTTTACTTCCTCTCCCTCTCTCTCTCTCTCTCTCTCTCTCTCTCTCTCTCTCTCTCTCTCTCTCTGTCTTGTAACATTTTTCATGCTGGGTAAGATTATTGGTATAAGTTATCATCATCTCATACATCTATTTTGTAACTATTTTAAGTGTAACCATAACCATATTTTGTCATTAAACCTTTTCAATTACAACTAATGTGCTAACTAGTTTTGATTTGGTATTGACTTTGAAGTGTTACAAATTGCAATACAATACTGTCACTCTCTATAGCAACGCTCTCCCACATTTTAAGCTATTATAACTGCGCTTATTTCCGTCGTTGGTATAAGTGGCAGTGGGTGGAATAGACAAGAAATGTACAGTTTTCTACCATCTTGCTGATAACGTTTCTTTAGTCATTCGGCAGTCTTGCAGCTTGAACCCCTGCAGGAAATCCACCCTTACATTTGTTTGCACTAACAATCAGAGGTTTTGAAAATTTGTCAAGCAAAGTAATGATAGAGACCAACCAGGTATCAGGCAGTCTCAAAGAGAGAAGTAGAATGTGGCTAAAGAAAAAATTCATATGTGGTAAAACTTCTTTAGATTCCGTTGTGCCTGCACTTAGCACTGAACGCTTGTGATCTTATCAAAAACGCTTGTGCTCTTATCAAAAACGCTTGTGATCTTATCAAAAACGCTTGTGCTCTTATCAAAAACGCTTGTGCTCTTATCAAAAACGCTTGTGCTCTTATCAAAAACGCTTGTGCTCTTATCAAAAACGCTTGTGCTCTTATCAAAAACGCTTGTGCTCTTATCAAAAACGCTTGTGCTCTTATCAAAAACGCTTGTGCTCTTATCAAAAACGCTTGTGCTCTTATCAAAAACGCTTGTGCTCTTATCAAAAACGCTTGTGCTCTTATCAAAAACGCTTGTGATCTTATCAAAAACGCTTGTGCTCTTATCAAAAACGCTTGTGATCTTATCAAAAACGCTTGTGCTCTTATCAAAAACGCTTGTGCTCTTATCAAAAAGCTTGTGCTCTTATCAAAAACGCTTGTGATCTTATCAAAAACGCTTGTGCTCTTATCAAAAACGCTTGTGCTCTTATCAAAAACGCTTGTGCTCTTATCAAAAACGCTTGTGCTCTTATCAAAAACGCTTGTGCTCTTATCAAAAAGCTTGTGCTCTTATCAAAAAGCTTGTGCTCTTATCAAAAACGCTTGTGCTCTTATCAAAAACGCTTGTGCTCTTATCAAAAACGCTTGTGCTCTTATCAAAAACGCTTGTGCTCTTATCAAAAACGCTTGTGCTCTTATCAAAAACGCTTGTGATCTTATCAAAAACGCTTGTGCTCTTATCAAAAACGCTTGTGCTCTTATCAAAAACGCTTGTGATCTTATCAAAAACGCTTGTGCTCTTATCAAAAACGCTTGTGCTCTTATCAAAAAGCTTGTGCTCTTATCAAAAACGCTTGTGATCTTATCAAAAACGCTTGTGCTCTTATCAAAAACGCTTGTGCTCTTATCAAAAACGCTTGTGCTCTTATCAAAAACGCTTGTGATCTTATCAAAAACGCTTGTGCTCTTATCAAAAACGCTTGTGCTCTTATCAAAAACGCTTGTGCTCTTATCAAAAACGCTTGTGCTCTTATCAAAAACGCTTGTGATCTTATCAAAAACGCTTGTGCTCTTATCAAAAACGCTTGTGCTCTTATCAAAAACGCTTGTGCTCTTATCAAAAACGCTTGTGCTCTTATCAAAAACGCTTGTGCTCTTATCAAAAACGCTTGTGCTCTTATCAAAAACGCTTGTGATCTTATCAAAAACGCTTGTGCTCTTATCAAAAACGCTTGTGCTCTTATCAAAAACGCTTGTGATCTTATCAAAAACGCATCTTACAGTGAAAAACAGATAAAAAATAATAATAATAAACCTTGTGATCTTATCAAAAACGCATCTTACCAGTGAAAAACATTTTAATAAATGAAGAGTTCAGATGCAAAAGCCTCTAAGTGCCATTTGAAATTTTCTTCTAGAATGATAATTTTTATCAAGCTTGTATATTTAAGTTCAGTAATTTCACTTAAATGACAATTAATAGGTAATCTTCATTGCCATTTAAGTGAAATTACTGCACTTAAATATACAAGCTTGATACAAATTATCATTCTAGAAGAAAATTTCAAATGGCACTTAGAGGCTTTTGTATCTGAACTCTTCAAATAATAAACCTTTTACAATCAATAAGTATATTCTGCCAAGTGAAGCCTGATATTTTCTCAGCCTGAACTGGTTATTCAGGAGTCCAGTAAACAAACCCAAGATGATGTTATAAAGTCACGGGCTCCCAGCACAGCAGCAGCACACTATTGGAGACACTTCTCCAGTTTCTCCAAATCCACGCTCCGCCAAAAAATTACATTAGACGGGGAGACGCTAACCAGGACTAGAAAAAAAGTTCCACCCATGACGACCAGAGATGGGGAGCTGGACGTTATTTGTCTATAGCAGTCCGCAGTGAGCACCACTTGGTAACCAAGAACATCAGCGATCTGTCCTTATCAGCTGTTTGTTAAATAGCCTAATAGCCTGCTTAATATAGCATAGGCTAATACAATATTGAGTGTTTTCTTATAATCGTAAAACAACGAGAAAGAAGAACATTAAAAAAGTACATTTTACCTTTCTTGAGAGATAGACAGAGGCAGAGGAAAACAGCGCTTCGAATCATAATCCGTGTTTCCAAAGTTTTTTTTGTTTTGTTTTGTTTTGTTTGTTTTTTCAATTGGAGCTCCGTTTATAAACGTGGTGGGTAAATTTCAAAGTTTGACTGAGGCTTATATGCACCGACACGAAGATGCGTCGGGGAATGACTGTCGAAGTTACCGCCTCTGAACGGCCCCTTCATTTGCATAATGACAAAACGTAGCCTGCCGGAAACTCTAGTGGTGAGATAAAACCAAAAATACGGCCCAAGGGTTAACAGTTAGGTTATCTGACATAAGCCCAGATATGCCTGACTTCATGCTACTTTTGCTGTTGACACCTAGTATTTAAAGATGATCTGTGAATGAAAAGCCAAGCGCGTCAGCTTTTTATATTTCTTAGAAATCTAGTTTTGCACAACCTTTAGAGGAGGATGCGTCAAAAAACTATGTAACCACTAGGGGGAGTAAGAGCTTAATAATAATTACACAGGAGAGGACAGGACAGGAGCAAGCACATGGCATAGTGATTATTGCTGCATAGACCTCATTCAGAGCAATATTTTATGTTTATTCAAGGAATACTAATAGTTAAAGGAATACTAATAGTTAAAAAAAACTAATTCATATCAGTGAATAGACTTACCATGTTTTCAATGGCATCCGCTGTAAAAATCTGTAGCTATAAATCTCCTAGATCACTTATAAATTTCCACAGCATATATTGTCTTTTTTTTTTGTCTACTGGAAAGATTATTTGTGTTTATTCAGCAGAACAATCCAAAACACATGAAATAACAGTTCAACATATGTCTATCCCTCACAGCCCTGCTTTCATGCCATGGGAGCGAACTCTGATTGATATGAGAATAGTTAGAAGTGAGGAGACGGTGCTGATAAACTGTCAACGAACAGAGGTAAATCTGCTACCTCTTATGTTAATCGGGTTAATTATCTGAACGTGCTGCTCTCGAACTTTGTTCATAAAACATCATATGGCCACATTATCTGAAGCTAAAAGAAAAAAAGTAATCCATAAGAACACAACAGATTGCCATTTATACACCTGCTATTAATCTTCATATCAAACTATTCATTGAGGGGACGTCTCTGGTTTAATCACCATATAGCTTTGAATCTAAATGTTTTACTGCATGTTGTTAAAAAGTAAGTAAGAAAACAAAACACCAAATGATATACAATGAAGGTCATATTCAGTGACACTGAGCTCAACACACCCACACATCAATGAACTAGCAATCAGGGTCATATTCAGTGACACTGAGCTCAACACACCCACACATCAATGAACTAGCAATCAGGAGGAAGTGGTGACAACCTACAGACAAATAGGGCAAATACCTTTTTGTTTGGGCCTGATGGTATGTCTGAACATGGTCATTAATATTTAAACATCAAAGTCTCTCTCCAGTAACATGCAAACTATTAGAGAACATTAAAATACTGTTATTCTGTGTACTACTGCACCCTTCAGCATTATCAGTTATAAATGTGCATTTGCATGGAAAAAGGGTTTTAAAAAATCTAAACAAAGCCAGATGTAAATATATTTAATCTAAATGAATTATGAGACAATCATATTTCATTGTTGTGACTGTGAGAGAGCTAAGAAAACTGATGGAAAATGTGCCTGTTGTCTGTGGCAAAAGGCAGACGAGAACTCTTTAACCACAGAGGTGGGTGACGCTGTTTCCTCTCTAACGCTCAATGAACACTTTTATTTAGAGCCTAATAAACAAGTGCAAAAAATTACAGAACAGAGTTTATTTCATTTAAAATATAGTCATGCTAAAATTAAAATTTAAAGCATATTAAAATATAAACAACAGCATATATTGTTGATTTAAAATATTTGTATAAAATCAACATTACAACTATAGAAGGATTTTTTATCTTTGTCAAAAACATAAAAGTTTTGTTTCCTCGTTTTTTAAATCCTTGTTGTTTTTGAAATGTGCTCAAAGGAATAAACTTCCTTTGAGTATTAGTGTGTTAGAGGTTGCAGAAGTATAACACCCACTGTGGTCTGAGTCTGATCTCACGTGATTTCAGAAACAACCTTGCAGAAGTGAAGAACTGTTGCTTTCATTGACTGAGAGCCACCAAACTCTACAGAAACTCAACAGTTCTACAAAAATGTGCATGTGGAGATTCATCTTGTTTTTGATCTCTGCACAGGGTGAGATTTTACTATCATACTATCATTATACTATTACTTACTATTACTTCTAACTATTAAATGCATTTTGTTTTTATTGATGAAGTTGATTAACAGAAAATCTAAATCCTTTTTGTGCGATCTAGTATTTGGTGCGCTGATTATTGCAAAATGTCTAAGCCATAGTGTACACTACACTGATGATGATGTAAATCGAAAAATGTTGTCTTTGCATTTTTTTTTTTTTTATCTTGTACTATTATGCGTGTGATCTCCTGTCCTTGTTGAGCTTTGATAAACCTGTGGTGTAAAGATATGATCATTGTAATGATATTTATAAGAAGAGTGAAAGCATTTCCTGTTGGATTCTTGAGGGTCTTTTTAAACAGAAACTGCTTTTTTTAAGCTTGCAGTTCTCCAAAGCTACGCTTGTTTAAGTTATTCTATTTGTGTATGAATGTTACGCACAGTATCTGTATAATGTTTCAGATGTGTTTGGGGCGAGTTCAGATGCAGACAATACAATATCAGTGATGGAGGGAGATTCTGTCACTCTACACATCAGTGTTTCTGCAATAGAGAGAGATGACCAGATACTCTGGAGGTTTGGACATGAAAACTCTCGTATTGCTGAAATCTACAAGCAGAACATCCCAACATATGACAGTAATGAGATATTCAAAGACAGACTGGAGATGAATAACCAAAGTGGGTCTCTTACCATCAAAAACATCAGAATAAAACACTCTGGACTTTACAGAGTAACCTTCATCAGTAATGGAGGGACTTCAGACAAGAGGTTCAGAGTTACTGTTTATGGTGAGTACATTAATCTAACATCATCAGTGGTGAGGTCTCATAGGAGTTTCAGTGTTTTATTTCGAAAACCTGTGACACACCAAGCAGACGATCGACCGCCGAGCAATGTCAGGCGGTTTTTGAGCGTTGGCCGGCTTAGTTTTTTTGGTGTGTTCTGCACCGTTGGCTCTAGTCAGACTCTGTCAGGGTTATTTAGGCAGATCCGGCATGTAGAATCAGCGTCGGGCCATTGGTGAGAGATAGAACGCTGGTTGGCTGTTCAGTTTAGCGAACGAGTCAGTCTACGAGAATAATAGTAAAACAGAGAGCAAAGAAGTGGAAATGGTACAGATAGAAGGCTGTTCTAATTTACGTCATCTTACACGACTGTTCCTGGGCGAAAATTGAAAAATTAGGCTAAAGCCCTGTTCACACTGCCACAGTATGTCGTACAGTAATGGAGAAATTCGCGCGAGGATCATTGTAGCCAATCACAGATATTTTTGATGAGCACATGAGTACAATGGGCGATCAGAGGGGTTTACGATCAACAGCTGACAAAGTGTCACATTTTTAAAAATTCCTTACCGACTGGTATCGAAGTCGGTACTTTTTTACTCTAGTACGCGCTGCTTTATTTACAGTGTGTGTATCTACAGCCTGCAGTGTAGGTTTCCCTTTTTAAATGTCAAATATAAATATATCTGCAGAAATAGACAGTTATCTCCTTAACACACATGCACAGAACACGCATGCTAGCTGACAGTCTAGCATGCGTGTTCTCTTGGCGTGTTCAAGTGCAGCTTTTTTGCCCCGGCACAGGAGACGCGAGGCGACAACACAATAGGCTTTCATCAGTGCTAGTTCTTCGGCATCGGTTGGGTGTGTCCCTACCCTAAAACTTTGTTGCCATCTTTGATATTACTTTAGTCACTGTAACTATGGAAACAATTGATAGATCAGCACATTCATTCAGACATTGTCCGAGACATTAATGTAAGCAGCTAAACAGGATATTTTAACACTAAAATTCTCAAATCATTCTGAAAACGAAAAAAAAAACAATGTGAATTAAGAGAGTTCTCCAAAAAAAAAAAGATTTATTTTATTCAAGGATTTTTAGGCTAGAAAAAATTGCCATCTCTCCCTCAGCCATTGTAATATAAATGCCCTTGCAGCAGTTTTATTTTATTTTTTATTTTATTTTTCCTGCCACAGTAGCCTAATAACTATTACGCTATAAGTGTATATTAAAATATTAAAAGAGAGAAATCAAAACAAACTTCACTAGGTGTTGATAACTGTGGAAATGGGTCATCTCAGTTTGTGAAGTGAGTCACAATGAGTCAGGTGAGACTTCAGCATTCAAGAAAATGGTGGATATGTTTGAGTGAATGACTCATTCATAAAGTCACTTGTCAAACCCACTGGCAGAACGTTGTTGCCTGAAAATTGCCCGCCAATAACTACAGTGCACTTATGACCTACTGGAACAAGCAGATACAAAGTGAAAAAAAAACTAAAGGGGGAAAAGTCCCACTGCCACTCAAATATGAGTATTGGAACTAACTAACTGTCTAAAGGCCCTTGCACACTTTCTCGTCTCGGCAAATTCGCGTCCGAAATTTTCGCACGTTAAAAAATAAATACGACCTCACGTTATGTCAATCACGCTTGCCTCTGAAACTTTCGTCCGTCATAAAAAAAATTGGATCGGGTTCGATTTTCTGCGTTTTTCGCATCTGTAGCAAGCAGTTTGAATGGTGTTGAATGGTGTTTTGACAATTCAGAGCCACCGAATATGAAAAAACGCATACGAAAATTTCGGACTCAGTGTGCAACGGCCTTAAGTCTGAAATCCGGTAACACACCCAAAAAATCTGTGCTGACCTCAATTTGCACAGCTCAATAAAATAATTACACCACGACAATTCAGACACCTAAATCAATTCCTTTAAATCCCAGAAGTACATTGGCCTACACTGCATACCTGGTTAGTTATAAAACACATATTCTTTCATTTAATAAACTACCTCTGCTATGGTCAAGAGAATAAACACAAACATCTCTTTTCAATGAAATTTCATTTACTGAGAGCTTTCCAAAGGTGTAATTACACAAAGAGTGCAAACAGTGCCGACTTCTTTGAGTAAACTGCATTATATAATAAGCCATTTGATCTTCATATAGGGAGCATTAGGGGCTGAGGTGCAGGTGAGAGTGCTAAAAAGTAGTCTCTAATATTCTCTAGGGGTGCTTATTGTTTCCTAAATTACCATCCTTCAGCCCGTGACCCAGAAAGAGATGAGTTCACCATCATAAAGAGGATATCAATTATCTAATTGTGCTGCAAAAAAGCTGAGGACATGTAGCTTTACCCTATAAATAAGTCTTATCTGTAGGACAGCAACTTTGAGAACACAATTCAATCTGTATTTTACAAAACACTTCTGTGAACTATGTTTCTTCTGTGTTGTTTTCTAGCTCATCTGCCTATTCCCAACATCACCAGAAACTCTTCAAAATATTCATCATCAGAGTCCAGATGTTCACTGGTGTGTTCAGTGTTGAATGTGAGTGATGTGACTCTCTCCTGGTACAAAGGAATCGGTGTATTGTCCAGCATCAGTGCGTCTGATCTCAGCATCAGTCTCTCTCTACCTCTGGAGGTGGAATATCAGGATAAAAACACTTACAGCTGTGTGATCAACAATACCATCACACACCAGACCACACATCTGGACATCGGTGAACTCTGTCAACCATATCCAGGTATGACAGCAGTGATGTTACTATTAAATTACTGAGCTAATCTGTGGTTAAGAAAGCCAGAGAGTAAAAGCTTGTTGCAATGGAAAGTTCAGTCTTGTTTTTTTTTCTTCCCTCAGACTCTGAACAGTGTTGTGGTTATACTGAAGCTGTGATCCGATTGGTCGTCTCTGCTGTGGTGGGCGTGGCTACTGTTGTTCTATTAGTTGACCACTTCAGATCCAATAGTGTTGGACATAAACTGGGAGCAGAAAGGTCACCATCAGTCCCTTAATGACTTTTAAATGTATGAAGTTGTTTGAATATGATGTTAAATAATTTGAGCTGCATATAGGGTGGGCATACGTACAGATTTTAGCCGGACAGTCCGGATTTTAAGCCCCGTCCGGCGCAGCCTCAAGCCGGACACTAATTTGTCCTCCTTTTTGGAGTTGCGCTGAATCCGCCTAAAAAAACCCGCTCTAGAATCTGTATTGGGACACAGCAGCATAGCGTCTAATGCCGTAAGATCTCTGGTCAAACAAATGATTGGCTTATTTTTCGCATTCATTATTTGTTTATTTATGTATTTATTTTATATCCAGAAGTGGAAGTTTTATGTCCAGTGCCACTAGCTGCATATGACACATACACATCTGGTGGCCATGCAGTATTTAGTCAAAGCTTTGCTTGTCAAAAATGACAAGCACCGAATCATGAGTTCAATTCAGATTGGATTTCTGCAACTTATGGGTAAAGCCTTTTGTTTTTAAATCCGAAAACAAAGTTGGTTACAGAGTGCCATCAAATGAAGTAAACTGTTATAGTTAACTATGTTAGACTCATAACTGAGTTATGTCTGTAAAGAAAACAAAACAGAACAAAAAACAACAACATTTTAATTAATTATTAGTTTTGTTATGAACAGAAACTATTCACCAAGGCTAGTCCAATAGCTTCTGTACCTTAACTGGAGACTGCCTCACTATTAACTGTCATGTTTACACATTTATTGGCATGTTTTCTAATTTTTAATTTAAGTAGGCTAATCATCATAAACTAGGTAACATTTAAAAGTCTGACATCTTAAAATTAATTATCTGAATTTTCCAATGAGACTATGTTACCATGACAACTGCACTTTAAATCCTTCCAGTTTGTTGCAATTTGTTGCACCTTTTTCCCTTTTTCAACCAAATCCTATTTTAATCTTGACAAAAAACATATAATTGGAAATATCTAACGTTCCAGGTTCCATATTTGACCACTGATAGAAGTGATACTGTGACTATAGAAATGTATTAATTTATGAGTTCATTCGCCAAAGAAAATTAAAATGGACAGTGGGTGTCACCTGGTGGCCATGTGGTAAACCTGTCTTTATCATATGTGCTGTACTGTGCTGTGCGTGTGTGTGTGTGTGTGTGTGTGTGTGTGCGTGTGCGTGTGTGTTTGTTAATAAATGCCCCTTTTCTGTAATTTCTACGGGATCGGTTAGTTTAGGTAAAATCAAGTCAGCGACGTGCTCAAACACAATTGCGCAATACTTCACTCACACTCACACAGTTTCATGAATGACAATAAAACAAACAAAATCCTATCAGATTTATGACGAATCCATCAAGCACTCTAAGTTTAGACCAATCAGTGTAACATTCAGGTCTTAAACTCCAACATCTTAGTTCAATCAAAACAGTCACGTTTTATGCGTACAGAGACCCAACCTTTAGTAGGCTAGCCTAAGCAAATCAGTCAATATCCAGTTCATGGATATGGGAAAAACAATATTCTTACCTTTTACAATCAACAAGTATCGACACAGAACAAATATCCTGCCAAACATAGTGAAAGCCAGATATTTCTCAGCCTGAACTTGGTTTTCACAGGAGTCGAAGTGAACTGAAGCCGGTGCACAAGCACAACACTGGCAAGCCGCAAGAAAGGCATGGAGGAAGAACCTTATAAGGTCTGCCTTAGTTTCCGATTGAATATAAAACTACAAGCAATCTTAGGTATACAGCCTATACCGAGTATTTCATTTGTTATGTCGGTTATGAGGTTAAATAAAGCTTGCAACATGTCAGCGGGAAATGTACAGCTCGTAGGCTACTATTATTCTCTCATGCAGTTACAGATGCAGCGTTTTGACTGAACTAGGGGAGAGCGGGGCACAACCTAACACATTTTGGTTTTGGCTCAGTTTATTATTTAAAAAAGAATTAAGTTAGATTCATATTTTTTTACACAAGCAACATACACATCTCTGCTACAAATGAACACTTAAAGTTTTTTTCTAGGACCTACCGTTTTCGTGCAGTTGCACTGAAAGTGACAGAAGTGCAAACGTTACAACTTACCCCATATGCGGGGTTAATAACAGATAGAGGGGTTAGTTGTAACACTTGTGTGTAACACATAATTCAGTACTATTTTATATGTATAGTTTGATATTGTTTGTGCATCTGTATAGATATATATCCATACATCCATGATCCATCCCTCATCCAATCATCCTTCTATTATGGATCAATATCATGGATAGAGATATAGGAAAGGGCTGCACAGTTTTGCAATAAATAAATAAATAAAATCATCAAATATTGTAATTGAAATTTAATTATATTTGTGTGTGGCAGTTGCATGCTAAATTATTATTATTAATAATAATAACAGTAATAATAATAATAAAAACTAGCTTAAAATCAAATTTAAAGGGTGTATTGCATGAAAAACAGGCTATATTTTTTAATAAATAAACAAGTGATCAATGCATAGTAAACACAATTTAAAAAATTTAATTCCAACATTGTTTGTGAAAGCCCAACAAAGTTTAATGTGGCAAAATCAATATATAAATACCTCAAACCTGAAAACTTGTGTGGCTCCCTGTTTTCATTTGATTATCATTGTACACTTGGCGGCTTAGTTGTAACCAGGCGCGTCGTTAGACATGGGCATTCGGGGCTTCAGCCCCGGATGTTTTTTTTTTAGCCCCGGATCTCAAAAAAAAAAAAAAAATTATTGATATTTTTTTTTTTTTTTTTTTTTTTTTTTTATATATATATATATATATATATAAATGACCGGGTCTTTTAATCTATCCTTCGGAATCATGTATTAAAGACGATTAAAATGTGTTCAAGCAGATCAAAGTTACTATGGTTACTATAGTTATAGCACGCTTGCATTTAGAGTGCGCACCAGAGGAGACAGAGAGCCTGAAAGAGCCATCATTTAACTTACAGCTTTAGGGCTTGACTGTCACTGTTGTTTGTGGCTTCTGGTGGTAGCTATTATGGACATTAGAGGGGGAAGGTATACTATATACTATATGAAGACTATAGTATAATGTGAGATAGAAATACAAATTTAAGTCGTTAAATTCAAGATCACGTAAACGTTTCCCTCCGCTGCGGCTGTCAGTCATTCTCCATTCAGCATCAAACAGCTCGTTGCGTTTGGTTACGACAGTCAACGATGAAACTCTCTCCAAGATGATTCAATGTTACTATTATTATACTTTATCGGACGGTAGATAAAGCTATATGGTTTCGCATAAAATGACTATCTTGCTGGACTGTATTGCTGTAGGCTACCTTAATATTCGTTTCTACCGTGTGTCTGTTAGATCACAACACTGGAGAGCACTATAATTGTTCTTCACGCGCACATTAACTGAAATTTAAAACTGTTAAAAGAAAAGGCTCAATAAACTATTGCATAGATAGATACTGTTACTGTATTAATACACTATGCATCGATATGCCTTTCCTTTCTGCTTTGAACTTTTCTGCGCGCTGTGACTCTGTTGCTTCAAGCGCACCATTCTGCGCTCGAGATGCGCATAAGCGCTGTGTGCCGCACATGAGCTTTTCATAATTATATCATAATACTTTTGCGCAATGAAAGATTATTAATAGCTTTTTTTCTTCTGTTCTGTCCTATCTATCATATGTTGCTGCCTCATTAAACAGATCTGCTATACATTTAAAAATGTCTTAATTTTATAGTAGACTATATATAATAATTTATCTTTCTGATTTTTATCTTGTTTTTCATGAATGTATTTTACAACTATACAAAGAGCAATGTGTAACGTTTTACCTGGTTTAGTGCTACACTTATTGTCTCTTTGTTCCCCACTAAATAATGTTTTTTTACATTTACATTTTACATTTAGTCATTTAGCAGACGCTTTTATCCAAAGCGACTTACAACTGAGGACTAAACCAAGCGAGTCATCGTGAAGAGGCAAAAGCAACGCAAGAAGTGCTCAAAATACAAAGTTCAGACATAGCTCGGAGTAGCATAAGGCAGGCAAGCGAGGATTTAGAGGAAAGGATTTTTTTTTTTTTTTTTAAGTTAAGTGCTCCCGGAAGAGATGAGTTTTCAGTTGTCTTTTGAATGTTGTCAGGGATTCTGCATTCCGGATGAGGGTGGGGAGATCATTCCACCAGCATGGAACCGTGAATGAGAATGTTCTGGAGGGTGATTTTGTGCCCCGCTGTGATGGTACCACGAGCCGTCGCTCATTGGCCGATCGTAGGCTTCTGGTAGGGATGTAGACTTGTAGTAGTGAGTGGAAGTAGGAGGGAGCTGAACCTGTGGTCAATCTGTAAGCAAGCGTCAAAGCCTTGAACTTGATGCGAGCAGCGAGTGGTAGCCAGTGCAGAGAGATGAACAGAGGAGTGACGTGGGCCCTTTTGGGCTCGTTGAAGACCAGACGAGCTGCAGCATTCTGGATCATTTGTAGAGGTTTAGTTGCACATGATGGAAGTCCAGCCAGAAGAGCATTGCAGTAATCAAGCCTAGAAATGACCAGGGCCTGGACGAGAAGTTGTGTTGCATGCTCAGTTAGGAAAGGCCTGATCTTCCTGATGTTGTGCATAGCAAACCTGCATGATCGAGCTGTCTTTGTAATGTGGTCTGTGAAGGTCAGCTGATCATCAAAGATTACTCCAAGATTTCTGACCGACCTTGATGGGGTGATTGAGGAAGAATCTAGCTGGATAGTGAGGTCGTGCTGAAGAGACGGATTGGCAGGGAGGACGAGAAGCTCAGTCTTTGCCAGGTTGAGCTGCAGGTGATGTTCCTTCATCCATGCCGAGATGTCCGCCAGACATCTTGAGATCCGTACAGCTACTGTGGGATCATCTGGTTGAAATGAGAGGTAGAGCTGGGTGTCATCAGCATAGCAATGGTAAGAGAAACCATGTGCCTGTATGATGGGTCCCAGTGATGTGGTGTAAATGGAGAAGAGGAGCGGTCCGAGAACTGAACCCTGAGGAACGCCTGTGGTCAGTTGATGTGCTTTGGATACCTCACC